TGCCACCACCACCGGCGCTGATATATGTGTATCTCATGAGACTCATGAGCTGAACCTCGCCAGAGCCGGAATCGCTCACGATAAAATGCCCGTCGTTGTTGTTGATGTCGTTAGCAGCTTCGGCTCCTCTCGAGTTCGTCTCCTTCATTGGGTTTGAATGATTTCTGATCCGAGTCGGGTCGTGAAGAGACTCGGCCGCCGCCGGTGGGCCCTTCCAGTCTCCTGCTCGACGAATGTCGACGTTTCAGCCGGTGCCGGATAATTCAGAGATTATTTGAATTCAAATTATAATGCGATCTATTGTAGCTCCCCGTGGCGAGGAGGTCGAAAGTCGTGGACGCTCTCATTAACACTCATTAGAGCGACTCGACTTGATGATGCATCGGGCTATCCATTAAAAATCTTTTCGGACTTCAACAAAATGGTCATGTGAGGACGAGCGAGCCGGTGATCGCTCCCGCCGCTGCTCCTGCGAAGTTCTGCTCGAGTTTCATCAGTCTTCATTGACGGTGGTCTGAAAACCCACGGAATGTAACAGTAATCCAGCAGATGCGGAATAAATAAATGAGGAACAATCATCATGTGAGGACTCGATGCTCATGAATGTATTTGGTCTTTTGATTCCCTGTCTCATGCTATTCTCGAAGCGATTCGGCAAGCTGTGTCCGAAGGGTTGCTCTAGTCCGAGCTCTCCGCACCAAGTTCAGCGGGCGAAAGACTGATGTTCTCAGAGCTTCCAGAGTTTCCAGATTCTATCCGCGGTATAGTTTGTCGAGCCGAAGAGCCAGCTCTGGCATATTACGAAATAGATTTGATACGGTGTGCCTCCCTCGCGAGAAGTTTGCTCGCTCGCTCGCTTTGGTCTGTCGGATGGCTGCCTGCCTACCTCTTCGTCGTCCCCGGTGATCGTCTGTTGACACTCGACAGTGAGTCTCGGCTCTGCCTGAATCTGCGGCTACAGGTAGAGAGCTCCGAGTTCTCGAATTGAATGGCTCCGGTTAAGCAAAGACAAAAAAGAAGAGTTTCAATGGCAGTCTTTATTCTAGTTGTTGTTGTTGCTGCTGCTGCTGCCGCCGCTGAAGCGACTTTCGCGGCGACCGGCGACGACGGGGCAGCACGACGCCAGCTCACGGCTCGCGACTCGTAGACGACATAAGCAACGGTCCTGACAGATGCAAGCCAGAAGACAGACCTGTCGAGCCACGCCGGTGCCGTGGACAGGGTTGGGTGTTCTCTCAATGAATCGGTCAATCAGACAAGCTAACATGCTGTTTTGTCTTTCCCCGGTTATTTCTCGCTGAGATTCGAGGATATTCCTCCCAGGCCCGAGGAGCATCTCTCATTTCCCCTGATCTGGTTCCTCCTCCCTTCGGTTTCTTCGGTAAAGCGAGAGCTGGAGAATACTTCCTCCATCTGGGAAAAAGTTCCAGTAGTTCTTGAATCTTGATTGGGAAACTAGCAATCGAGAACTTTCTCAATCACAGGCTCTCGGCCACGCTGCGGAGAGAAGAAGACTGGACGATTTGAACTCTGCGCTCATTCATAAGGTGCCAGCGCGTTTTCGCTCATTTTTCCGCCGACGAAGCCTGCCTGGCTGGCCCAAGTGGGTTAGAGAGGCGGTCCGTCACAAAAATACTGTTGACGCAACCATAGACTCTTCCTCCCTACACTAAGGTCAGAAACCCTATTTTCTACGGACGAGTCGGTTTTGATTATTATTGTTTGACTAGACAACATCGACGACAACAGGGAAGACGTTGAGTGGCAGAGGCTGGCAGCGACTGATGACGCCTTGTCACCGGGATATTTTACGAGCACACGGCGTGGCACATGGTGGCAGCGTCGAAATCTTCCTCGATACCTCGAAAGCATCACCTCCCACTGCAAGTGCAAAAACTGAGGAATTTTTGCCAGAAGGTGTCCATGTTGCATATTCAGGCAGGCCCTCAACTAGGACTCATCCGGCATCCCAAAAGATTCCGCGATCTCTTTGAGCAAGCTCGCGATCTTCTGACGTCAGATCGCCATCGGCCCTCTGAGCCAGACTCGCGAGACAGCGCTCCCTTCTCTGTACGGACCTCAGAGCGGTCGTATCCGGGCGACGGCTCTGTTTCTGAAAAGATCCCGGAAACGTTTAGCCTCGGTGGAACGAGTACGTAGCTCGTCCCCGTCAACCAAAGCGGATTCCGGACGTCGTGGCTACAGGAGGAGCGAGAATCGTCCGTCCGCGGAGCGCTCCCCAGGATACGTCGGTAACCCTTCGATGTCCAGAGCATCATCATCACGACGATGCTCCCGGTGTCGTCGTCATCGTCAGCTCAAGAGGTTTTCGTCTGCTGTTCCAGCAACAAGTCATAAGTACAGCGCATGCGCGTTCTGCTGAGCGAGCGTGCGCTCTGCTGCTCCATCATCTCCTTGTGTTTACCGTGAATGGCGAAGTCGATGCGGCGGCTGTCGCAGCAGCATATGCGATTCCATCCCAGAATGGCGCGCAGAGCTACCGCAGTCGCTTTTCGGGGGAATCGGTTCGGGGAAGCTCTTAAGAAAGATGTTTCCCCCCACTGGTGCGAAACGAGAAGCCCGATCGGCGCTGATCCCGTTCGAGGCGCCTCTGAGCTCTAGCGACGGGATGAAGACCCGGTGCCGCGCGATGCTCGATCGAACAACCTCCCTAGAAAATATTCAGACGAGGTCGGTCGACGTTGAGATGTCCCTGGAGAGAATCACAATGAAATTCAGGAAATTGTAGGGAGCATATCTGAGGCGCGCTTCTTCGTATGCAGACGTTCTTCGACGACATTGTTTTGGTGACCGTTGTTGATTCTCTTATACCGTCACGATGATGACTCCGCTCTCAACAGCTGATGCCGTAGACCTTCTCGTTCGGCGGGTGCTGTCTTGAGCTTTGGTGAGCATCGTCACGGACGCTACCGTTGCATGATCAGCGCATGAAATCTTCGATAACAGCGTGAGACCTTGATCGTTCCAACATGGAATATCTCGATCGAGTCCGATCGTTTCGGAGCTCTATCGAGGTTCGATAGACGCAGTGGATTGACGCCGTGCGAGCGCCCCATCGGAGGAGAGCTTGGGCAGGAGGACTCTCCGCTCATGTGAGGTGGATATTGTGTGAAAAAAGCGAAGGAGGAACCCGATCAGGAGCAATCACAACAATCAGCAGAGTGAGCCGCATCCGTTGACAGAGCGAGCGGCGCAGAGCTCGAGCCCTTTAAACGACTCGTGAGACTCATTCAGAGTCAACATTCCGTTGCTCTTCGAAATTCCCGAGTTCTCTTCCGGCATCGGAGCCGAAGCGCCCCGGGGTTTCGCTGCACTCAATCTGAAGGCTTTTGGGAGAGTCTACCGGGCCCCTGCATCATTCCGAACAGATGTGCTCGGGATCCTCACACGACTGTTCTAGCCCCGTACAGGTGTTGTGAGCAGGCCATGTGTGCCTGATGAGACTCGGCTGAAAAATTTCGCGGACGACTCCACGGAGCTTGTTCCAGGGACAGAAAAATATCCGAGACTGGTGAAATCGGAGTGGGACCGGTCGATCGATAGACCGACACTACAGGAGATCCGGAGCGGCCGGGATTCCAGCGCTCGGTCGGGTGAAGTACTAAGGACGGAGAGCCCGAGCCGGCAATCGCATCCCCGAGAGACAGATAGACGGACGGACGAATCGATGTACGGAACAACGCAAAAACCGACGTAAGTATGAACGGAAAGGGCCCGATCATCGTTTAGCAGCCGCGGCGCTCGCCGTTGCGTGCTCAGGACCGGAGAAAAAGGAGGAGGAGGAGGAGGAGGTCGCCGTTGCCGCCGCCGCCGCCGCACAGATCGACGACGGACGCACCGACTGACGAACGAACGAACGACGGGCGGACGGACCGACGGGAAGACATACGGACTGACGGATTGACAGACGGACGACGACGACGAGGAGGAGAAGAAGAAGAGCCAGTCATCCAGCCAGAAGAAGAGGCGGCTGTTGCCGCTGCGGCTACGAAAGGAAGGCCTCTCCTGTTCTCTTCGTTCACTCACTATTTCACTCACTCACTCGGCGGTGCTGCTGCTGCCGCTGCTACTGCCGGCGGTGCTGCTACGACTGCGGCGACTGCGGCTGCTGCTTCTTCTTCCACCAAGCAAGAGTGGTGGTGGTACACCCTGGCTGCTGAACGAACCAGCAAGCAACCGAGAAAGCAACCAAACAACGAACGTCTAGCGAGACGGCCGCCAAGCTACAACCGAACAAGAAGCTACAATCATCACCACAGTGCCTAGTCGTGGTGGTAGCAGTGCTCGAAGAAGTGCTTCACCGTGCGGCTGTTATTTCGAATTCCTCCTCCGAATCGAGAGATACGACGAGCAGCGATGTGCGAGACGGCGGCGACTCCGACAAGCAATTCGAGTCCAGTGAAGAATCTGCTCGCAGACAACATATGTACAGAGAGCAGCTAACTTGACAGTCGGTCTCGTGCGCCCAGACTTCGACTCATTGTCGAAGCCATCCGGAGATCGGAACTCTCTCACCCTGTCTGTGCTTTTCGCTCGAATCGAACCAGTGCTGGACTTGTTGTCGTTATCTGCTCGCGGCCGCGCAACTCACGTCATCCCATCAACTGCCAAAACGCTGCCGTCATCTTCTTCTGCTGCTGCTGCTGCTGCCGCCAACTGTCGACAACGACAACAGAGATCGGTGGATGCAGTTGAGACTACGGCAGCTGGTCTCTCTATCTGACCATATCTTGCCGAATGATCGGGAAATCATCAGCCGATAGAAATCCGATAGAATCATCAACGGAATTCGCTGTTGTTCGTGTGGAATAGTAATTGTTCGATAGTGTTCGACTCGGTACGCGGTCTGTGGCCAGAAGCTCCGTGACCGTATCGAGAATTTTGTGCAATCTCCGTGCAACTGGACATTCGTGCAAGAGGTCCTCGCGGGAAGAATTCTTCCGGAAAAGAGACGAGCGCTCTTCCGGAGAATCACCGAGGCGGAGGTAGCTCATTCTTGAGAGTAGTGCGTATGATGGGACAGAGATCTATGATGCAGAACACGCAGAGTATAGCCGACTACCTCGCGCAACTGCTGAAGGACAAGAAGCAGTTGGCGGCGTTCCCTAATGTTTTCATCCACCTCGAGAGAATCCTCGACGAAGGTGAGTCTGGTGGGGGTTTCTTAACTTTCGTTTCTTTTTCGATGACTTCTCCCGATCATCGATCTCGACAGGGTCATAGACCCGCGATCTAGACCGGCGCCGAGGTATTGCGTTTGGAGTGATGGGATGTCCCCTCATCATGAGAAGAGAAAGGTGTTTCCGGTGAATTTAAATATCTCGCTCGCACCACGGCTCGTAGTGGGCGCTTCTCGACCGAGCGCCTCAGGAATGCGCGCACATGCGCCCCCTGCTAGAATCAGAGCTCTGGCCCCACGATCCATGTTGTTCGGTGACCACTATTCTGACTTTGCGGTGCTTAAAGAGCTCAGAGTCACTGCGAACACCCACGGCAGCGATCCGCGACGATCACTGTTAGCACTCTACGCATGCTACGCACCGACCATGCCGTCTTGTTTACACTCTGTCGGAAACAGACGGATGGAGGAGGGTATTTCCACTTTACGTGATCTGGTGGAGAGTCCTCTCGTCGGACTTTCAGCCGATAATCTCGCGCTCACTTGCCCACGGGAGCGGGCAGTGCAAATTTCCAGAGAATCCGATTCGGCAGACCGGAGCTGTGTTCATCGAGAGAACTACGTTGATGATCGGTATCGCACTTTGACGGCATGATTATTCTCGACGAAGTAAGCCTGATCCAAGATGCGAACGCCGGTAGCCCTTCGCTCAGACTCGCACGCCATCAGCCGTCCAACCTGAGGTGGTCGCTTTGTCTCATTCATATGGGGGTCCATTCACCGACAAGGGATCTTTTGATGTCCCTGTTAGGGGCGAGGGTTCCGACGAACTTCAATGTACACTTCCCAGTGCACCTGCTGACTGGCTGGCGGCGACGCGCGGCGTTGTTCGCGGATGCCCCGGCTGTTTCTGTCGTTTCTGCTTTAGCTTTGCCGTTAAGGCACCATGGATCGCTGAGCCGGGGGCCCAACGTTGGCGTTCCTGCCCTGAGGCAAGGCACCCTTAAGCTTCGTACGCATGCTCGTACTTCGAAGCCTCTTATCGGTCCTCCAAGCAGCGGTCGAAACCGCTATCATCCCAGAGAGCCCGAATCGGATCATATTGTATCGAACATGGTGTGACTTCAGCGAAGGCCGGCTGCTCCCTTTCTCCCCAAGTTTGAGCTTGCCCAGAGCGAAGATGCCGGTGATTGACAAGTTTCGCGATATTTTTGCTCCCGGAAGTCTGAGGATTCGAATGGGATCGCTGCTTCAGACTAGACCGCGTACGACACCGATCAATCCGTGGGCTCGACGGGAAAAGGCCAATCTTTTTTTGTGGATGATTACTTCACCGATCCCGTGTGAGTTTTGCGGTTTCGCGCAGCAGCTTCAAAATGAAGCTCATCCGTTTTCTGCAGTCTGTCGGTTGGCCCTAACTTTCGGGTCGGCCATCGCTCCCGCCTCTGCTGCTCCACGCAGTGAGCGGCGGCGGCGACGACGACGATCGGTCGCTCGGTCGGTACACTCTCGGCAGTAATCAAGCAGCTTAGGAATCTTCAAATTTTTCGAAGCGCGAAAATTCATGAATGACAGTATTTATAAATTATTGCCTCACTTAAGGATCTTCGTCCCGATATAGCTGATTGACGGTCATCAATTACAACGCGCGCCAGGTCAATGTTTCTCCGATAGGTCGCGCTTGCAGTGTGCCTCCGACAACAGTCTGCTCCTCAAAATGAGCATTGTCGACTAGCGTTGAACGTCGACGACTACTCTGCGCTTGTCGGCCCGATCTATCAGCGCCACCGCGAGGCATCGGAAAAGCTTCCCTGGACCAAGGGCGCCTCTATCTTCAAGGTACGGGGTCGAGAGTCTTGCTCTGTACCCGATGGCTCGTTATTCCTTCTGCTTGCCAGACGAGCCCGTGATCCGAATTCCTGGTCGCTGGCCCTCCTGCCCGTGAGCGAGTACGCGAGGCAGACGGAGCCCACTTGGGCTCATCTGTCAAGATTCGTGTACAAGGTCTTACGTTGCTCGTGGCACCGAATGAGGTATTTCTCGGATACTCTCATCAGGAGAACGAAGGTTGATCACTTCGGGGACCCGGAGGCAAAGTTCGAAACTCTCAAGCGAATTGAGGAACCTTCGGTCTTCCGCTTGACTTATTGCGCAAGGTCTCCGCAATTTGAGGGCTGCGATGTTAATTACGCTCTGCGTCTTCTTCACTCCGCATAAGAGACCGTGACGTTCTAACGATTCCTCTAGGCGCGAGCTCTACCGGAGATCATGATCATTCTGTTTCGTATCCTCGGCGTTCGTTCTCCACGTAGCGGACGTGAGCTAGCTTGCTCACATGCAGGAGCTCTTGCACGCGTCGAAGCCCGGTCTTATCTCAAATAAGCTCTGCAAGCTGTTTGTTGATCGCTTGCTGGCTTTACAGATGGCCGCATCTTTCGTTGCCCAGATCGCTCGCTCGACCGTTGACTCGCTCGCATCACCCAAACGAAAGCGTCTCAAACTATAATTATAGTGGCCGAGAGACGAGCTTTGATAGTTTTGACAATTTGATCGTCTCGACGACGATCGAGCATCGGCGTGGATGGAGTGTCTAGCTGGCTTGATGGCCTTAAGATAGTCAGCACAGCATTGGGAAAGTCTTTCTCTGCTCCGCAATTGAAGAATTCGGCTTTCCGGACTTGGAGGGCCAAGGGCCCAAATCCATCGAAGTCCGGGTTCTCGCTGGCATCCAGGACCCATCCGGGGACCGCGACGAGAGACCGCCTCTACAGAGTCCTTTCACGGAAAAGGAGCATGCGCGGCTCCAGCCTGAGGAGGAAGAACTCGTGAGCATGCAGTACCCTCGACCCATTTCTCTCTACGGATTATCACTGCCCGTGGACTCGGTGCGCATCGCTCTCTGTTGGTCGCTCGCTTTTCTGCGAGCAACTCAGCTGTCCATTTATGGAGCTTGTAAACTTCATAACGGTTTGCGAGAAGATTTTTTGCTTGGTCAAAACACCTCGCTCACGTTCCGTGCTCGGATCGCATCGCTCCGTCGGAAGACGCTGCGCTCGAGTCGTCTGTCAATATTCGACTCAGAATCAGTACATTCGATGCGATTCTTCGGTGGAAGACTCCGAGAAAGCTACCCCCCATTCTTCGAGCCTCGGTCGTATCCATGCTCGGCATCAACACCCGGCTCGAGGATCCGTGAGCAGAATTCGTACGCTCTCTGCAACTACAAAGGATAATCAGGACGCTTCATCGAGTGCTTTTGTCTTCCTCGGCCGCTTTCTTCTTCAATTACCATCACGTAAGGAGTCGTAATGCTTGCCATACCTCACGCCCGAAGGCGGACTTCGCTTCCGACCCGTTTTCGTCCGCTGCCATTTTTCTCCGCGGCCTCGGATAGTGAATCTCCCGAACGCGCACGCAGGTGGCGGCTCGGCGGCAAGCTTCAGCAATAATCCCCTGTGCACTGACTGTGCCAGCGTCACGTAGAGATGTCTCTGGGTCGTAATTAGAGAACGAAAAAACGGCTTCAGAAACCTTAATCTGACGCCATAGCTCGCAGCGCATCTTTTTTCAATTTCTCCAGACGGGTGGCGCCTTACTATCTTCACAAGTTCTGAATCGCATGAGCAGATAACTTCGGAAGATCGTCGAGAACGACCGCTACTGGCGAAGTGATTCCTACGGTCGGGCTCCTTCCTTCTCTTTTCTTGTGAAGCTCCATATAGATAAGTTGTTATATGACCATTTCTAATTAGGGTGATTTCGCGAGCCCGGAGTTCGCTGTAAACGATGCCCTCACTCTCTTGCGGCCCGATAACTCGTCGCTACAGCGAACAGGGGCGACGAAAGCCCTCAGCGCGAGGATTTCTTTTTACCTCGGGGAAATCTGATACGGTTGAAGGATATGATCGCTCGGATGGGGAAGCGAGAATCGGCGATACCTGACAAATGAAGAGAAACGAGTCGGAAACCGCTTATCCTCTCCTTATCTCTCTCTCCTAAGAACTGAGCGATAACGTGGTGAGCTGAAGGGAAATGACGCGAGCCTTGAAGAGCACATTCGATAAACTTCAACGGCGCTCAAGTTCGGAGGCGACCCGGATGAGTTGTCTGATGAGTTCGTCTAGATTTTCATCAGCCTCTTATATGTATAAATTCGAAATTCCGCGAGTCAGATCGGTATGAAGTGGGGAGGGAGTAGGGAACAGCTGGACCTCACCGCGGCTGAAAGTGGCTCGGACCCTGGGGACCTTCTTCTGCTTCTTCTTTTTGCATTCAGTCCCTTCGGTAGAGCGTCACCTGCGCTACAAACGGTGAATCGATCAGACATGGTCCTCGATGAAGTCCATGGCAAAGTTCTAGTAAGGAGTTCGGCTCGATTTGCTCCGATTCGATTCCCCTCCGGAGAGAATTAGTGAATGGCAGAAGGATATTTTCCTTGTCGAGCCACGACTGAGTTTCTCTCGAATGAACACTTCGGTCGATGCCCATACTTGTCTACGTCTAACCCACGCGAGTTGAGCTACGACGACGTCGACCATCCCTTGTTGGCGTTTTCTGCAATCTTCGACGCGACGATTCTGAGCAACATTGCGTTGGATCAGCTCCCCGAGCTTTGGGTCCCGTCCCGCCGTACAGGTCAAGTTGGTGAGGTGCCGGGAGGTGGTGCGGACTATGCTTCGCTCCTAGAAATCTCGCACGGGGAATTTCTTCCGGGCTTCCGGGGAAATCCCCCACGCGATTGGACCTCATAGTACGCTCCTCTCCGGAACAGGGCCCGTCGTCGCTGTTCCCATTGGGCGTTTGAGGAAGATTTCGAACGGAGCCCCCAGCTGAATCGCTTGACTTTCGTGTTTACTCTTTCATATTTCGGTCCACCTTGTATTTTCTGCATGTAGCGAGCGGATGCGGAGGGACCTTGGCCGTCAAAATTCAGTACAGAAAAAAAGACGGAGCCTCGCTCTTTCAGAAGAGTCTCCTGCCGAAAGCCGGAGCGGGAACAGGTTCCTCTGGAAATTAATGCAAAGG